TACGTAATAATATTATAATCTAAATTGCAATGTTTCAGGATTTATACTTTAATATGATTCATATCAGTGTTCAAAAGATAAAGATGGTAAAGTAAAATATAGCTTTTATAAGTTAACAAGTCGATTAAAAAGACGACTAAACCTTGAAAGTAAATAAGTAGTTCCATATGAACGTTTTTATTGATAAAAATGACACTGAAAAATCGTGGCAAATTGCATACAGGAAGCATCCTTATATTTTTACTATTCACGTTCTAGGTTGTTGCTCTTTATAGTATGTATTGTTAAACATATAACAAATTAGATAAAGCATATCATTACTGACTGACGACTTCTTTATTTAGAGTGAATTTAACAGAGCTGTGGAGGCATAAAAATTATGTTAACGTCTGATAAAATTATTCATAATACATTGATATAGCACTAATGATTCATTTGATATAAGTTTGGAGGTTGAATTGAGAACATTTTGTATTCTTTTCCTAACAGCAGATTGTTTTCCTAGTTTTAAGCAAGTTTACTTCCAGAATATTTTTTCAGTTTATACAAAATGAAAAATTATGGTTTAATTTTAAATATTTTTGAAAGAAAGGAATATGGCTACTAATAAGCTGAGATAAACACATTTTAAACGTTAAGCGAGTGCAACTTTAAACTCAGCTTACAATAAGTTTTTAAGCAAATTCGTGAAAATAGTGAAATGTGCTTATTTTAATTGTATAGTTTAAACGTTCTTGTGTAAAAGTTAATTGTAAGGTTGCGATATTTTTTTTTAGAAAAACACTACTATTGAAGTTAAAAGTAAAGGAGATACTTCGGATATTGAAGTGCGAATTTTTTTTTAGAAAAACACTACCATTGAAGTTAAAAGTAAAGGAGATACTTCGGATATTGAAGTGCGATATTTTTTTTTAGAAAAACACTACCATTGAAGTTAAAAGTAAAGGAGATACTTCGGATATTGAAGTGCGATATTTTTTTTAGTAAAAACTACCATTGAAGTTAAAAGTAAAGGAGATACTTCGGATATTGAAGTGCGATATTTTTTTAGAAAAACACTACCATTGAAGTTAAAAGTAAAGGAGATACTTCGGATATTGAAGTGCGATATTTTTTTAGAAAAACACTACCATTGAAGTTAAAAGTAAAGGAGATACTTCGGATATTGAAGTGCGATTTTTTTCTAGTTGCAAAGGGTGAGTAAACTTCACTATTTTAATTTTTAGAAGTAGAATCAAGTCAGAGTTTGTAGCTGTAAACTGTATATCCTCAAAATTTCAGTTACTTTGCAGTCAAGACCTCTATGAGCTACTTTCTCTTGTTTCATAGTATATATTCAGTGATATTATTAGCTAGGCAAATATGGGTAAGAATTGATACTTACTGTGATCATGATCAAATTTAAAGATAATTTATGAAAAAAGTTTTATGACCTAGTTTATGGAGGACAAAACGTACCAGATATGGATAAAAGCGAGTTCACCCTCAGTAAAGTGCCATGTTTTGAATATTTAAAAGAGACAAGCTGTTATAAAAGCTTTTTTTATCCCATGGATTTTTTATTATTGATTAAAAATATAAAATTCTCTTTGAATTCTTATGATAGAATAAAAAATGTACTTTGCCTTATAGCTGATTATTTAGAGGATTAGAATAATTTCATGCTGACTGTCGTTAAAGGACCGTCTGACACAAATCGGAAACAGAAGAGGAGACGTGTTCACCATGAACACGAGAAAAAATAAAAAGGCGACATATTTGGAAACTCAATAGTTACAGTGAAGTAGAAAAAAAAATCATGATTAAATATAATGTTATCTTACCATAGTTTGATTCAACAGAGTTAAACACGTCTGGGATGCAGGTTAGTTGAAAAGCTTGTTGTGTAAGAAACAATACGAGAGCCGTAAGGTTAACGGTTAGAATAAGAGTAATTCTCTTAAAAAGTCTTATCTAACTGACTTCATATTTGAGTAAAATAACCTGTCAGAGTATCAGTGGGCTTGTATTGATCACTAGACTTTATTAGACAGCATTGTATTAAGCTTCGTATATACTGCTGTGACGCTTTTCAAGGGACAGTGAATCGGTGATAGTGCAAGAAGAACACAAATAGCTTTATTTGTGTTTGTTGTTTAGTGCAGAGATACACAATGGGCTATCTATACTCTTCCCACCGTAGTTATCGAAACCCGATTTTAACGTTATCAGCCTTCAGACTTACCGGAGGCAACAAACAGTTTTTATGTGTTTTACACGTAAGTTATATTCTTATCATTCTTTATCGTTATTTCCAGTAACAGTGATTAATAAACAATGGCCTGGCAGAATAAAATGAGCAACACTGAAAACAATAGGACTGCTCATTGCCCATAGTGCCTTTGGTGTAAAGGATATTAATGAGTTATAGAAACATTAGACCTGCAATTAGAATGCAGCGTAAAACTGATGCTCGTGATATTTCCTCTTTACCAGAGATCATGTAGTAGGTCACTTTGAATGTAACTTGAATGAAAGAGTTATTGCAGAGCTCATTACCTATTCAAATGGATATGTGAACAGCAACGACACCAAATTTATTACCAACATCATTACAGTTGCCGAGCATCGCCCTAGACAGTCGTTAAGTAATACAACACGAGCATCGCACCGGACAGTCGTTACGTGTTACAACACGAGCATCGCACCGGACAGTCGTTACGTGTTACAACACGAGCATCGCCCCGAACAGCCGTCAAGTATTACAACACGAGCATCGCCCTGGACTGCCATCAAGTATTATAACACGCGACAAAGAGCACTGATAAGGCAAGTTCAAAAATACCCTCATCACATCTTGTCAAACGTTGAGGAAGAGCAGGCAAGAGTGAAGATATAGTTCGTCAGATGCTACACAATGTGTGGAGCTAGGAGAAAACCATCGTTGATTAAAGCACACGTAAGGTGGCAATCTTCTTGGGTTACTGAAATCTATCACTGTCCCGTGAAGTTCTGGAGGTAGTAGGGTGAATCCCTGTTTCAACAATTCAGCTCCAGCAGACGTGTATGGATCTGTAGAAAAGCAGACGACGAATTCCAACCATTCCGTCTGAATAGAACAGTCAAACATGGTGTTGTCAGTGTCATAGTATGGCCAGTCATTCGCTATTGTGATAAGATGGACTTGTTTTCATTCATAGTCGTTTAACTCACTATTATACAGAACTACTTCCAACCACTCTCACACCCGTTGAGGTGTTTTACTGTCTCACACCCATACACTTTAGGTTGACTGTGTTACTTGGCACACAGTCAAAACGACAACAACTTGGAAGAGGGAAAAAATCATTAAACGTCTGTCTTGGGTTCCACAGGGCCCCGATATGAACCTAACAGAACACACATGCTTCTAGACAGAAGTTAAGGAAAACACGTCCACCAATCAAAATGGTTGAGGGCCACACTCCTCCACATGTGGCAGAACCTGGACGAATAACAGAAACTGGTCGATACCATACCAAGTTGGATCCGCGTGGTAATATAAGTAAATACTAAAAAAAAAATATGTATGGAGTGTACATCTAATATAAATGTACTTTTAGTGATAAAAATCATGATACTGTGAATGTTTCACTGGTGCTCAAGTTATTCTGCCAGAGCATTGTATATATATAATAATAAAATATTTAATTTTATCATTTTTTTTTATTTTGAGGAATATTTTTCTTTGTTAGCTTGATATATATAGATTTATGAATGACCTAAGCCAGCCGAACGTCATGAGGTTATTGGATTACGGCGAAGATACCCAAATGATGAATCAATACATTCTGATCATTATACATATTTTGTTTTAGGTCACTACGTACAGCTAATAACTAATTCTGATCATTATGCATCTTTTGTTTTAGGTCACTACGTACAGCTAATAACTAATTCTGATCATTATGCATCTTTTGTTTTAGGTCACTACGTACAGCTAATAACTAATTCTGATCATTTTACATCTTTTGTTTTTGGACACTACGTACACCTAATAACTAAAGATGGGGGGAAAACAGGGCAGCAATTAAATTCAGAATTCTGTCTTTCACTATGGATAATGTGTCGAGAAATAGTTGCAGCTGAACTACTCAACTGAGCTGTACATATATTAAACAAACTGTAACTTCTATAGACATTTCTATACCATAACTTCTTCATATCATATCAATATCCTGAAATGGGAAAGTAACCGAAATGTTTGGCTATTTCGACTTCACTTAAATAATCTCCAATCTTAAATGCTACAAAACAATATTTATGACAAGTCAAATGTAAAAATTTAAAATGGAGCAATATTCTTGAATATTTCTCTTTACAAATATAAATAGAGCTGTTACTGCAAAAGTAAAAGCGTGATATTCACGGTAGAAGACGCTTTCCAGAATTTTATTCCTTATTTTTATCCCCGTCGAGTGTTTTTGATTTGTTTTATTATCTTAGGATATAAAAGATAACACTGAATTATACCGTTCTTCGACAATAATATCCAGATTTGTTCAAATGATGTATGTCTTTCCACTTAAACTACCCCCACCCCCAAATGGCTCAGCTGTAAAGCTGAGGGCTAATAACAACAAAAATCGAGTTTTGGTACAGTTTTGTTCTTAATAACAAACAAACAAATGCTTAAATCAATTATTTCTAATGTTATTTTTAAGAATCAAAACGAACCAGATAATAAAAACTGCAGTTCAAACTGGTATGGAGTTTCGTGCGAAAAAATCTGAATGTATGTATTTTTCATATTTTACTCTGAATGAAATGAAATCTATTTCCGTGACGTGTACCACCAAGTTGTGTGTTGCTTTTCTTGGTAAACCAAAAATGACTGGTGGAGTAAATAATAACCACAGAATTGGTTTTAAATAAATAGGTGTAAAAACTTGTTCTCCAAAATTTCGGATTTTCCTATGATTATGAACTCGGTTCAATGAAACAAGTGAAATTTTATCATTACAATGAGTTTTAATGAATCACTGATACGTTTATTGCATTACTGACACAATCGGGCTGAAAGAACTATATTTCTTTGGAAAACACCTACGAAATAAATCGGAGTAACATAGCTAAAGGACCAGTGTTTGAGATTGCTAGATATATTCCATTTGAATAAAAAATATTCATGGTAAACTAATATTATCGTTAATAAACAACTTTTAGTTGAGCAACTATCTTAACCATTCTTCCAATGTTTAATATACATTTGCTCTTCTTTTATGTTATTTGTGATTTATTTTCCATCAGAAGCATGTCTGATTTTGATCCCCCATTTTCGTGACCATTTGTGTCTTTAGTATACCATCCTAATGGAATTTTTTAAGTTGCTTTTATCCTTGGTGTTTGTGAGTGAATCCTATATAATCCTTTCGATTAGATGGTAAGCATCAGTTTGTACAGTTTGTTCAACATCGTGTCAGCGTGTTTGGTATTACTATATTTTCATTGATAATTTCACTTTTGATATAGATACTGCTTTAATTTTACACTTTTCAGTTCGAAACTACAGTAAGGGATAGAATAGGGCATACATAGTTTAAAACTACAGTAAGGGTTAGAATAGGGCATGCATAGTTTGAAACTACAGTAAGGGTTAGAATATAGCATGCATTGTTTGAAACTACAGTAAGGATTAGAATAGGGTATGCATAGTTTGAAACTACAGTAAGGGTTAGAATAGGGTATGCATAGTTTGAAACTCCATTAAGGGTTAGAATAGGGCATGCATGGCTTATATAAATATCTTCAAGACTTTTATACAATAATTATACACCATTCTTTTCTTGTCATTTAAAAAAAAAACGTAAGGTTTATTTTATTTTTGTTATTTATCATCCGAAATGTCGCAGCGCTCAATAATATTGCATTTAATTACTTTGATGCTTCTTGCTTAGTTATTTATTCCAAAAAAATAATAATAACTTAATGTGGCGTGAACTCGATTGTTTGTAGAAAAAACATTTTTCATTCACTGAAACAATTACAAAATAAATTGATTACAATCCCCGTGCAGAAAATCTATAAATGAAGGTTCAAAATTAACGGATAACATTGTAATGTGACCTTTGATCTAGAAATGATTTAAAATATGTGAATACATAACATATGATTTTGCATTGCATAATAGACGAATATGAAACGTAGAGAAAATACTATACAAGAACTCGGAACATTTCAGGATATTTGGTAACAACATCTAATCAAATAACATATATATCATTTCAAGCTTCTTGATAACTATCTTATACTTGTATTTTAGTTTGAGATTAAATTTATACCATTAAAAAAACGTAAAACGAAGCTCGGTAAAATAAAGTTAACGTACTGAGGACGAATCATACTCAATCGTATGTGGACAATTTGTTATATCATAACATGCAGCGGTATTTCTATGTGATTATCTTACTTGCTTTAAAACATTAGTGATTCCATTAGTCAGATATCTTGCATTCTACAAAATACAGGTATCTTGCATTCTACAAAATACAGATATCTTGCATTCTTCAAAATACAGATATCTTACAATCTACAAAATACAGATATCTTACAATCTACAAAATACAGATATCTTACAATCTACAAAATACAGATATCTTACTTTCTACAAAATACAGATATCTTACATTCTACAAAATACAGATATCTTACATTCTACAAAATACAGATATCTTGCATTCTACAAAATACAGATATCTTGCATTCTACAAAATACAGATATCTTGCATTCTACAAAATACAGATATCTTACAATCTACAAAATACAGATATCTTACAATCTACAAAATACAGATGTCTTACATTCTACAAATCTTTGAAGACGAAATGAGTCAGTGGCTAATAAAGAGGGTCTTGTGGTTAGGGCGCTCGACTTGAGGATCGCAAGTTCAAATTCCCGTAGTCGAATGTGTTCTTCCTATATGGTAGCCGACTGGGCCAGTCTCCCGGGTGTATAAATACTGACCGACCCCAAACTAGTTGGGATTAAGGTTGTAAAGTTAAATATTAAAAAAATATGGAAAGTATAAATGAACAATTATAGAGGAAGGAGCAATGTTACAAAATAAATACGGGATGTTTCCCTAGTTTTTAAAGGAACCACATCCAAACTGATAATTCATTAATAAATGTTGACCCTCTTTAAGACTTGCATCCTGTATACTCCTCATGGATCATCACTTACAAACCGTAAAATTTACCCACCGGTCCTAATATAAAGCAACTTTTAGTTCATTATGACAAAGCTTCATCAGCAGAAAACTTAGAAACAAGTCTGTGATGATATATAAAGTAAAATCCTAGCAAGAACCGTATTTCTGTATTTAAGTTTATAGTGTGTGATAATGATCGCTTTATAATGCCACGGAAGAAGGTGCAGATAAAATTAATCCACTTTGTTTTTATAACCAGGGGGCAATATATATAAAAAACTTTGTAAAAAATTCGTACGTTTTTCTAACTTTAGATATTTATATTTCTCTATACAATATTTTTATAATATCGTCTGACTGAAGCCGGGGAAAATCACTGTGATCGTGTAGAATTTGCTTGCTGAGAGTAACAAATTAGAAACTACTAAACAGGCTAATTCTCGCAAAATTTAAGGTTATTTTTATGGAATTGTAGAAAACTAAACCCTTATGACTCGCATTTGGTACGCAAAAAATGAGTTAATATGCGTACACAAAATATACAATGTATGCGTGTAACTTTGAAATCCTACAGAAAAACGGTTATTCAAATAAAAATTCACTCTCCTCGTGAAAGGGTGTCAAATGTATGATGTTAGGAGTATCTTTTCCTATACCTAGGGTTCTAAATAGATTTATTTTGGTTAACGCACATAAATATATAATGAACATGTCACTATAGAAATCAAAGTTGTGTTAATGTTGCCTTTTATACAATAATAAAACAAATGTAACTTATTTTGTATCATAGATACTATGAATTGTGATATATTTAGCACACTCTCATTGATTTTTCAAACAGGGATAGAAGAATAGAAAGTTATAAAAGCTCAAAGTACTCAGACTGGATTAATCACCCCATTAGCAGAAAAGTGATAGTAGGCGGTTAAATGAATTTTTGTCCGGATACTGGATGAGTAAGACCAAGTGGTTAATTTGTTCGGTTTATGAATCAGACGGTTCGTGGTTCGCGTCCCATTACCTACAAAATGTGTTCCATGACTCGAGGTCGGGGGTGCGCTATAAGAGTAACGGTCAGATTTCGTTATTCAGTCAGATAAGAGAAGCCGAAGAGTTGACGGTGAATGCTGTTAACAAGCTGCTTTTCCTCTATCAGTTCAAAATTAGGGGCGGTTTTACTCCGATAGTCTAGGAACTATAAACGCTTGCTACTTTGCATCCAACAACTTTGTTTACGATAGTCTAGGAAGTTGGATGCAAAGTAGCAAGCGTTTATAGAACTTTGTTTACGATAGTCTAGGAAGTTGGATGCAAAGTAGCAAGCGTTTATAGAACTTTGTTTACGATAGTCTAGGAAGTTGGATGCAAAGTAGCAAGCGTTTATAGAACTTTGTTTCAGTGAGGTAATTTAAAATATCTTGACATTGTCTGTGAATTCATTTTTGCAATTACAGCTTTAATTGTGTTTTCAGTGATATGTTCTATAGAAAACATCTTCGTAGAGCGAGTTGTTTTAACAAATGAAAAAAATCTTTGATTACGATATATTTTCTCACTCAAAACATATAAAACTTTTCCTTTTTTTGACAAATAATTTATCAGTATAAAACTATTTCCAAGTTTTTATTACATAATTTGATTTCATGTGTTAATTTTGAACCATTTTATTTCTTACAGTATCAATGTCACAGAAACCAATAAATGTGACTTTATAATGGATGACGATAAGGTAAGACTCGGATGTAGCGCTTTTGAACGATTTGATTTGTTTAGTTTACAACTTTGATTTACATTTTAATGTTTACATTTAGAAATCCCCCCGATATAACGTAATTATAATGTGGTTGCTTGATCAACCTTGAGAAAATTACAGTATCACATAAAATACATTACATATTTAGAGAGCAAGATAACTGATTAGTGTTTACTTATTAAGTTGATTGAATGTAAAATAAAGAAATCATTTTATTTGCTTAAGATGTATAAAGAAATGAGTACACTCATATTCTGAGTGATTGATTAAGTTACTTGAAGTACTAGTGCCTTATTTCAGATATGACATGACGACTGTGATTTAGAAGTGAATGGTCAATTTGATTATGCTCTTCTAAACAAGCTTGCAAACTTCGTTAACTATAAATGTTTTAACGTATTTCAAAGACTATTTTAGTATCCTCAAATCACCATAGTATAGTATTATAGGGAATAAAACCATTTATTTATGTGTTCCAAAAATTATATATGAATTTTAGCATAGTATACATTTTTTGTCACGATGACGTTTCAACCTGTTGGACATCAACATTATATATATTTCGGAAGCACAACCTTTCTTATAGTTAGAAGTGCTCAGTTCTTTCTGTTTCGCGAAAGATTAAGAAAAGTTTCGTATTCAGGGTAATTATGAATATTTTCCGCCATGAGTCGTATTTTTCCCCAATGGATGTACCACCAATTACAGAGGTCGAGTACGTTATATTAAAACGATTTTGAAGCATCATCACGTCACTATATTCCATGTCGTCACATTTGGTCGTGCTATATCTGACTACCAAGCGTATTGAAATAGAACTACACCTTTATTTCCATTGCAAAAAGCTCTACGTAAGGTTGTCATGTTCAAAACACCCCTCTTTCTTATTGACTTTCCATAATCCATCTAATGTACGAGGACGACGATCTCACCAGTCTTATCGCAGAGAAATCAATGGCGCTGCGTCTTATGAAATAACATGAATAACCATTTCATTCTGCAGCTACTTGACGTATACTAAGGTTGATCTAGATGTCATAAAACAAATTATTTTCACGTAACTTATATGTCTTTCTAGGTAGACATTCTCCTTCCTTATGTTGCATACTGTTGCCTGGGGCACGTAGACGATTTCTCTTTGTTCTCACCTGTTACAAACACCACACTTTGTTTACCATGACTGGGGTACGACTTGTTGCAAGTCTCTTTCTGGGTGATCCTGGTACCCCAAGTTGATCTGTATTCCCTTGGTTTTCAGTGTCATCAAGACAATCTAAATCCCCGATCTGAACACATCTTTATGATCTTAGTGTAAAAATATTTTGCGTCGAAAAGGGTAATTCCACGCTCTTCCCAATGGCAATCAATGCTCGGTGACATCACACTACCTAAGAAACACCAAACAACGTCAAAACGTGGTTCTGGTACATTCTGTCCTACCATGACTTTATATCTACTGTGATTGTCATGTGTCTTGCTGATATGTACATAATATAGGATACATAACATGAAAGAAATAGCTCTAGACTACATACCATCTCATTGACTGGCAAATATGTCTATTGTATTTCATCTTTTCTATTGAAAAAAAAACGGAAAGAAAGTATAACAATTTAAGAGGTATTTAGGATATCTTAGAAAATTTACAATTTCGAAATAGTAAAATATAAATATCAAATGGTAACTGGAAAGAGTAAAACCCTCACTACTTTCTAATAATGTAGACATTACGAATAGTATAACTTAAAAAATATTGGCTTGGAGGTAGAGAATATAGAGTACTACGCACGTATTCTCTGGGAGCTTTAACAAGTTTATCTGGCATTATACTAATTAATAACAATATGCATCTAGAAGTTTTGTCATTTACTGCAGAGCTATATTTGAAATCTTCCAGGGGTGGAGTAAGGCTTGTTTTTATCATGTCGGATTAATTGCGAGTAACGTGTACGATGTAACAACGGCCACTAGAAATAATTAAATAAATCTTCAAGATTAATTCCAAATGTTGTTAATCTAAGTTGTTGATAGTCTTCTAATATGAGGAAATGCCTGTATTGTACAGGAATGACACGTTGAGAGGTAATTAGGTAATTATATCTCTAATTGAGCAAGGTTTTCGTGAGGCGAATGAAATTAAAAGCAAAATATTACGCATGAAGTCCAGTCGGTTCCCATAATATGTCTCCAGTTGGTTATTTTCGTCTTTACTTTGTTAGAATGAATTCGTAAGATATGTATATGTACAGTGGAAGGTTTTAAGCAGTTTCGTGTAACCTCGATGACTAAGGTAAGACCGAACACGAGTCGGTAGAATGAGCTACAAAGGACAGTTATATGTCAGTATGATTATCAGATTGAGATTGATCTATTGTGAAGACAAGAGGACTCCATAAAAAACGTTATCATCTGTAATTTTTTTATATAGTTTATTTACGTATTATGTTGTATTCAACCAAAAAAAATGGCAAACTAATGAATCAAATGGAAATATATTTGCTTTTACTTATATTTCTATAGGTGGAATTCAAAGTCCAATTGTCGTTGAAATCCTGTAAAAAAAAACCTTCGGAATGGAAAACAGATCTTTCAGTTTATCCTGAAGGGTTTAAAAGTTTATTAAAGATTGCGGTTACTCTGAAATGTGGATGTGAATGTGAAAAGAAAATCTATGGTGCTGTAAGTATGGAATATTAAATCAGTCTGTATTATTATAAGTCCTGTTTAATGTATCATAATCGTATTATTGAATACTGATTACTTATTGAAAGGAAAAGCTCAATCTGTTGTAATGAAATTTTAATGGTTAAGTTTTAGTGACTTTCTGACTTTGATTGATAACAAAAAACCAAGTTTTATATAAAAGATGGTCTATGTTCTTAAACAAAACATGGAAAACCTGGTATTGGGATTTTGCCATGAACCAATTGTATAGGTTTTAAACATAACATCCGTAACGCCATAGGTTACATATGAGTCGACACACCTACCACTGTTTTAGCAAACGCGAATTACCCTCATGACGTATGATTAATCCTTTTGCACTAGTACGTGAATTTACTTGCAATGACGAACATACGTTTCACTTAAGATAAAATTGTTTCATATTTTTATATTTTATATGGCATGAATTATTTAAGACTTTTGCAGTTTTACGTATAGTGAGGTCTTCGAAATTTGCCACATCTCCACTTTTCAAAATAGACCTACTTGGGATTCTACATGTGTATACCCCATACTCATAACTAAGTTTTAGGTCTTTGTGCTTATACGTCAGAGTCTGGTTATAAAAGACTAACTTGCAGTTTCTATGCTATTCAAGAAATGGTAATGAAAGTCATTACTAGTGCAGGTTTTTACACGTTGTCAATAAGAAAAGAAGGCCCCATTTAATGTTACTGGATAAACTACGATGACTGCTGACAATTATCCGAACTAAAATTATTTACATGAATAAAAAAATTAAGCCTTTTAGCCATTAAAAATTTTTAGGTAACAATAAGATTTTTTTCCATTATTAAACACTGGCCATTTTATGCTTTTTTACTCAGTACACTTAAGGAAGAGTAAGTTACCTAAAGATAAAACATATTGGACCAACTGTTTACCAGAACAAGGGTCTTCATGATGAAGATGACGAAGGAGAATGGTTACACATTCTGGCGCTGAACAGGAGATTTTTCTCCGGCATCGGTATGGAAATTAAACTAGTAATATCAACATTTTCCTTGAAAATCCTGCCATGAGGAAAGGATATACCAATACACTCTGGTTACATGGCCAGTCGTTAACTCAGAAATGAGATGATAAGTTGACCAACAAATAAGAGATATCAAAGGAGATCCATATTATTATTGCCCATCAAGTACTGCCTCTCTATATAATTACGTGTAAGTAAAGTCCAACTTTAAAGTGAGCATACTTGTTCTGAAGGAAAGAAAGAAATGTAGATAAGGATATTCAAGATTCTAGGCGTTATTCAACTCTGATTAAAATCTGTAAATGAGGTGCAAAGAAGATGGAAAGTACAGAATGAATTTATAACAATATAACATTTTTATCAGAGAATTGGGAAGACCACTGCATGTAGACCTTCTTGGACAGGAAGAAATAGTGGAAGAAAATGATACTTCGAAACCCGAAGCAACTGCAGCTGTTCAATACTTTCAGATACAGGCTACCAAAAAGTAAAAGAATAATAATTCTAGCATGTAGTTGTTGTTGTTGTTTGTAATTAAGCACAAAGCTACACAATGGGCTATCTGTGCTCTGACCACCACGGGTATCGAAACCCGGATTCTAGTGTTGTAAGTCCGCAGACATATCGCTGTGACACTGGGGGGCCTGCCATGTAGAAACGACTGTTAATACTTTCAGATGCAGGCTACCAAAAGGTAAAAAAAAGGTAATTCTGCCATGTAGAAACGACTATCAATACTCTAAGATGCAGGCTACCAGAAAAAGTAAAAAACTAATAATTCTGTCATGTAGAAACAATTATGCCTTCCCTCAAATACCTAGCTTGGCTGACAAAAAAAGCGTCCAAGAATATAGTGTTTAAACTATGGAAGAAAAGACCACTGAGCTATAATGCGCCTGATTTAATAGAAACAGCCAAGACCCTTAAAGAAGGAACATTCAGGGAGTTTTAACTGAACATGACTCACCGAAGAGACTTACTGTCCATCTTTACACAGCATTTTTGGTCCATTAAGAATGTACACCAAGCATAACAGTTGAGTTTTCCAGATAAGAAAAGTAAAGAAGCATACCAAAGCCTTACTGGAAAGCAGATGAAAGACCAAAACTGGAAAATTCACGGAAATTGTAGCCACTGAAGATTTCATCTTTGCTGTTATCAGAAACGGCGAGTTTCACTTTTGTTACAGAAAATGGAGAAAAAAAGATAACCATGCAATGCACTTGGAATTGATGGATTATTAATACTCAAAAGCAACTCAAGTAAATGAATATATCTTATAGAAAATAAAAATTACAATTACTCTGGGAAATCAAAATCATCCTTGTACAGACCAAAGAAATGGTACAGGCAAAAATTTCAGAGGGAAGGAAAGCTCAAACGTAAAATATTTTATAAAACATGACATTAACAGTAATTTTTAGCCGCGGCTAACCGGCTCATAGAAAGAGTCCGAGTTTTTTAGGTTTTTTTTGTTTGTTTTTGAAGTACAAACTTTTAGCTTATAGCTCCTCATCTCTTGATCGATTTGAGATCTAATTACAGTTTTGGACTCAGGAGATCAAACTCTTTCGATTGATGTATTAGACTACGCCCAAGGTCGTATAGGTTAATGTGCTCTAATCCTGCCTAAAATATTTTTAATTTGAGAGTAGGCTGCTGGAGATCTTGAAGAATAATAAAATCGAAGCGGGTATATGCGCACCCCACTCTTGGTATTGCTGACGCACAAAAATATAGCTAATAAAAAAGAAAAAAAAGGTCTCGTAGATTAATTCACTTTAATACTGCCTTTCAAGTGCCGCGGCTATTGAAGATTTTCTCTTGTTTAGAAGAGGATGTGTTTATCAACCGCATATCAAAGCTAGTTATGCACTTAAAACAATCCTGGGCATACAGATAAAGAAGTCTCTAAGCCTGGTGTTTATGATGTTTTAGCTGGACTGTGGATCCAAGAGTCCATGGTTCACGTCCCGTTGATTAAAAATATCGTGCTCCGCACTTTGAGTTATAAGAATGACGGTAAAATACTACTATTCGAGCTCCCAGTGGCACAGCGGTATGTCTGCGGACTTACAACGCTAGAATCCGGGTTTTGATACCCGTGGTGGGTAGAGCACAGATATCCCATTGTGTAGCTTTGTGCTTTACATTACATTACAAGCTACTAATTACCAGCGAATAACGAGACTGGCTGTCATATTATAACGCTCTTGCAGCCGAAAGGGCGAGCAAATTCGGAGACAGGCTTTGATCACATGGCCTGCAGTTTTCAAATCGAACTCCCAAACCACCATGTATATAAGATTAACAAACAACCCAAAGATAACAGTAGCTACTACAATACTGTTGAACTTCAGCAAATGAGGAAAGTTTCTCAATATAATGATAGATTTAAACTGACATATCAGAGACCAGAAATTATAGATACAGTAAAAATGTCATAACGGATAACATAGTTATTAAAGAACATCTATCTTACCACAGCAAATTAAGATAAAAAGTTCCAAGCTTCTAAGCATGAAAGAAAAATCGCCGCCATGTGGCAGAAAAGTACTTGAATAATAGACATGTGTAATCTCACGTATACTATCATAAGTCAAAACTTATCTCATTCCAATGTAAAAACAGAAGTAACAATAAGAGAGGAAACGTTTAATTACTATTTATATGTCCTTCATTAGGGCAATTTCTAGTCTGAAAATTAGGTATGGATAGTTTATATCTTACTTGGTACGAGGAAAACAAAAGAAATACTTCAAAAAAGGGGAATTATTTACCATGAACAGTCTTAATTATCACAATATATTTTACATAAATGTTAATTGGCTGTGCATTGACAAGTTACTTTCTTATGAAATGCTTAAACTTTAATTTTTGTCTAAATAAAAAAAATACAATACCCTGTTTGTTATTTATGTTAAAAGGTAAAGGTTTTGCTTTGCATTTGTTTGTGTATATTTTGAAATTCTATTTCTATATGGTTTCTTTTTTTTTCCTCTCGTGGAAAAGACCCTTAGGTTTTTTATTAAACATTTCTGTTTTTCACACTCTGCAACATTACACAAATATAGGTCCTGAACTGCTATTCTAAATTTACACACATGTGGCCATGATGCTTCCTTATAATTAGCTGGTATTGTTTCATTCAAGACCTAATTGTTAACACGTTTGTTCTAATTGTTCAAATTATTAAACATTTCTTCATTGTAAGTCTAACAAAAACAAACTGAAGAGTATCAATAATCAATAACTCATGTCCTGGGTCTGTAAAATAAGTTTGAGATACAAAACGATTAATCCTTTGTTAGATATTTCATGTGTAATTGTATATAATGTGGCACAAATAAAGAGTTCATTCATACTATAAATGCTGTCTACAAATTCGTAAGTACAATCCATTGAGTATCCAGCCATTTGCAAAATTTTTAGTTAGATAAGTATTTATACTTTTAAACTTTTCAGTGGGTTAATTCTTCTTCGATGAACATGTAAAATAGTTTCGTAATCAGCAACTAAGGTCACAACTAGTTGCAAAACGCCTGTAAAGATATCTTTAAAATATTACATTTTAAAATACTACCTATTACATACGATGTTTATTTTACAGTACCTGTAAATAACTTACTCCGTGACCTGCATAAAACACAAGATTATGTATTTTTGCTTCATATAAGTGCTTTCGCCTATTCTCAACCCGCAGTAAAACTTAGAGATATTATATATATAATATTATTGTAGTATGGAAACACAATCGTATGTATGCTTATCAATTCTTTATAAGAAAAAATGGTTATTTTCACCTCATATAATCACTTTAGTGTCTTGTTTATTTGGTTTTATAATTAACCCTGGAATTCCCGATGGAGATCTTACCGGCGTTATTGTTAAGGAGAAAGCTACACAAAGGGCTATCGGTGCTCTGCCCAGCACAGGTATTGAAACCCGGTTGTTTAGCATCGTAAGCTTTCCGCTGCGCCACTGTATGCTTGTGTGTGTGGTGGTAGTGTGGGGTATCGGTTTTTTTTAAATTGTTTAGCTATTAGTGCAGTAAATTGCTTTTGGGTTCATAATTTTGTTGGTTTCAGAGCCCCTAATTACCTATGAGTCGAGCAAAAGCTATAAACAAAAGTACCATCAACATTACCACTAATCAAATGTGTATTTTACAGAGAAAATAAATGAGCTCACCCATTTTGTGTCAGTTCTTCACATTGAGTGTTTAGACAATTAAAAATGTACAATTACTCAATATGTGGAGCCCACTATTAGTTAAAGCGATATAAAAACAAGTAAATACATTTGAGGTTAACCATGTGGGATATTATTTTTTTAATGCTATGATGTTTCAACACACATTTGTTTGATCTTTTCGTCTTTTTTTTTCTTTTTTTGTCAATCGGTAGGTTGTGCGAAGTGAAAAGTGCAGTTACAATGGAAATTTTTCATGTGGAATGTGCACCTGTGATTCGGGTTTTTTCGGAAAGTTTTGCCAATGTAACAGGGAAAAGGAGCTAGACCCCTGGAAAATGCATTGTCGTAAAAGGTACAAACAGAATTTTCAATTAAAAATCAAATGTATAACTTTATATTTCAGTTTGTGAGAAAATATTGTAAGTGCTTTAACATATAACGTTATTGTAATATATAGGTGCATCGTATGACAGCAATTTATAGTTAAAAGTGTTTGAAGCCAATGGTGATATTTTATTTTATTTTTTGATATTTATATGGTGTTAAAGGCAGCCAACAGTATTAAAAGGACTTAGTTTTAAAATGTAAATTAAAACTTTATATAAACAATATTTACTTATTCCAATGGAATCTCTATTAATGAAAAGGAACAAGCCCCATCTTCCGATTAACCGTTGCCATACCAAGAACGTCCTCAAGCTATTTGAATACTTTTAACCACTAAATAATTTTTACTTAATTAAAGACAAGAACAAGCAACAAAGTGTACTTGATAGTGTCGGTAAGATATTAATCATTCCAAGGAAACCACAGAAGCATCATGATTTAGTTTTTAAACTAATTTAACGTCTTACTTTATTAGGTGTGTAATTAGATTAATTTTACTTTGATTGCTTTGAGTCCGCAATATGTTGTGGCTTTTGCTTTGTACTTTCAGCTGTGAGCATGTTATGAAAGAATAGTAACATAGGCTGTATTTGGTAGTTTAAAATTAGGAATAGCTATGCTGAATCTTGAGATCACAACTCTAGAATATGAGTTCATTTCACTACATATCTGTACCCAGTATGAATCTCATCATTGCAATGGACATGTCTTTGGTATGACCCAGAATGGTCCTCGTGGCCTCCTTTTGAATGTGTTCAAATTTTTCCAGTTGTGTCCTTGATAGTGTTAGTATTGCGAGTTCATACTCCACGACTGATAGCACGAGATTCTGTTAGAGGATGAACAGCAATCTTTGCTCCATATTTGCAGTGACCATGACTTTCAAGACCCTTCTTTGCTTTCTCCACTATTGTATCTACATTATCCTTGAAGGACAGGCTCCTATCAAAAGTGATACCCAGGTGTCTCATTTTGTCACGTCACTTTATGGTGGATCCACTGATTACCATTTCTATATTATCCATAAAGAGCCGTACAGGTTCAAAATACCAAGTTCTAACTGGTTGACGATATTGACATTTACAAGGAATTAGTACAAATAAAAAATATCAAGACTTGAATCCCAAATAATGTTTTCTCAATCAATATATTTGTTTCTTTTCTTGAAAAATTCACTGCTATGCTTCTGTTCCTATTTAAGGTTATCAGATAGAGGATATGAGGTATTGGAGAAAAAGGATTTTGGGTATCAAGTAACTGTTCAAAGTAAACAAAATATGAACAGTTTTCTGTATTATTATATTTTTTATAACGAACACTGTTCTTTTTTAATTGTGGTTTAAATGCTGAACACAATATACACTCACAATTATCTGTGTGCCAGGTACTGTATAGCAGAGTTTTTGAGAATACATTAAATCTTGTGTACAATACAAATGTACAGCCGACTTTCTAGTGCTTTTACCAGTGTATATCTTCTACACTGAGTTAATTCCATCACGTATGGAGACTATTATCTCAATTACTCATTGAAACAAACTGGTGATATTTTGACTCAGTGCTAAACAGATGAGGTATTTTTTACATGCACTAAAATCTGGACATTACGGAACTGTTTCAAAAAGTGTATAAATAATATTAATTGCTCGGAGTACCCACGAATTTCGTTCATGCCAAAAGTTTCTGATGAGTATGAAAGGTTGAGAGCCAATGCAATGTAGGAATATTTCTCTAAAATGTTATTCATTAAGTCATTTTTCAATTTGAAAACTTTTAATGATGTAATTCTCAGCATCATGCAACGTTTAGGTAACTAAAAACTTGCCTTTAAGTATTTTACTTAACCTACAATTAACAACAAATACCAATAGTGTCCGGAAATTACCTATTCTTCAGTGTTTTAAGAAATCCCGTTGTTTCTAGAGCTTCTATTTTTTTTTACTTTTAACCTTGTTTTTATAAATAATCAACCACATCGTTCAACAATGTAAATATTCATAACTTAAGAATCTTGTGTGTTAACTCAGATTTTGTATAAAAGCATAAAAAATACATGGTTTTCATTTTCAGTCTGACTGACGTCAGTTTGTGTTCTGGACGTGGACAATGCTCGTGTGATGGCTGTTATTGTGATGTTCGAACAGTAAGTTTGCTTGTTTTTCAATTTTAATATCATTACACAAGATAATTCGTGAAATAAATTGCAATATTTCCTAAACAACAACCAATGATACTTCTTTACTGGTAATTTTAGTTTTTACTACAATACACTATAATAGATAGAAAGAATTCATATCTCAATACCATTTGTTCTATATTGTGATTCCATATCTAGCCTCCATAGGTAAAGCTTACTTACATGTATGGACCATCCATGGTTTGTTTGTACTTTATGGAAAGCTTGTCATTCGGGGCTTTTTCTTGTATATGGTACTGAGTACGTCATTACTACAACCGCACAGGAACCCTAACAAAAGTTTCGACCTATTTTTTCCCCTCACATTTTAGTTTCAACTAAACGACTGTATATGGTTTCATGATAGTCAACAATGAGGGAACAAAATGATCCAATATATTGTATATTGCCATTTGCCAACTCCACACAAAGAAAGATATCTACAGCAATACACGCTTATGCTTATATTCTTAGAACCGTGGAATTCTTGAATTAGTCACATTCTATATTCCAGGGTAAATTAATGATCTGTGAGACATTAGTCACATTCTATATTCCAGGGTAAATTAATGATTTGTAAGACATTAGTCACATTCTATATTCCAGGGTAAATTAATGATTTGTGAGACATTAGTCACATTCTATATTCCAGGGTAAATTAATGATTTGTGAGACATTAGTCACATTCTATATTCTAGGGTAAATTAATGATTTGTGAGACATTAGTCACATTCTATATTCCAGGGTAAAGTAATGATTTGTAAGATATTAGTCACATTCTATATTCCAGGGTAAATTAATGATTTGTGAGACATTAGTCGCATTCTATATTCTAGGGTAAATTAATGATTTGTAAGACATTAGTCACATTCTATATTCCAGGGTAAATTAATGATTTGTGA